AACTAAATGCAAACTGTGAAGTTCTTCTAGGAAGCAAGAACTTTTTTTAACAGGAGATATTTGGACAGATACAAATAAGTTGAACATTAGGAGCTTTTAGTCAGTCCACTTAAAAGTTGCTCCAGGCCTTTCCTAGGGCTTTTGGGTGCACATCCTTCACATTTTCTCCTGTGAACTCCTTAAAGCACTGTATTTAGATGTATATCCAGAACTGGACTGTATAAGCTGAAAGTGTTCACCATATTGTTTGGTGTACCTCAGCAAAGCCTGTGCCCTGCTTTTACCCCTTCCCAAAAAATTTAGCAGTTAGCCCTCCAAAGCTCTCTCAGATCTCCTGTCAAAGGAATGGGAAGCAGGCTTTTTAGAATAGTCTGGTTTTCTTTGATATAGAAAATACTTGTACTCCAAATGCAGACTTGATAGTAGGACAGGGCTATATGGAGTGAGAAATAGCGTGTAACATCTGGTGAAGATACTTTTAGTAAGGCTGTATTTCGAACTTTGATACTGAGGTTTCTGGTCAGTTAAAATCATTTGAGGATGTTCGTCTAAAGAGCTCCATGCAGAGGCATGGATTTTGTAATCAAGCAAAAGGCTGAAGTTTTTAGGATATCTGAATTTCCCAGCCTTTTAGAAACCTCCATGACTTGGGATTGGGAATATTTATGTCATGTCTGGGCAGCCTTGATGGTTGAGGTTTGAGAGTAGGTTTGGGAGCTGGAGTGGCTGAAAGTTGCCCAGCTGTGCCACACTGCCAGACTTTCCGGTGTTGCGGGGTGGTGACATGTAATTTGGGTTTAGTGTGACAGTGAGAGAGACTGAATCACCAGTAAACTCCTGCCACAACCATGGCTGCTGAAGGCAAGTGCCTGTGCCAAGTTGCTCTCCAGAAGCACCTATTTTGTCAACAAAGGTTTATAACATATCACCGGGGACAAAGAGAGCATTACCCACTTGAGGGACTGCTGTAAAGTTGCTTGCCCTTTGCTGCTTCTGCCGCTGATTTTTGGGGGAGTGGGAGGGGAAGTCATAAGGGGCAATGACAGCGGAGAGGGGAACGCAGTGAGAGGAGCCCCTGCTGGCATGGCCAGTCTGAGCCATTCAGCAGGCTGAATATGATAAATGCTGCTTTATCCTTTCTTGAAAGGAACAAGATAGCACAGCCTAAATGCCTGTGTGTGCTTAAATAGGCAACTCTGGGATGCTAGAGTTGAGGGCGTTTGAAATGTGAGCTCCCCAACAGCCAGGGAGCTGCCACAGGTCACCTGCCTCGCTCCATGGGGACTGGCCCAGGTCTGGCAAGAAATCATCCACGGACGAATTGTAGTACAAATTCCTTTCTTTGTTGGTTGGCCTCTTTCACTAGACCATGGCCTATAAAAAATTGTGTAAAAACAATTCTTAAATATTATTTGAAAGGGCAAGCGGCCATGCTGAAAGGTTTGACAGTTTGACATATAGCGCTTGGTTCTGCTCGCCAGGGAATGGGCGTGTGGAGTCCGGGCTCTCCTTATGCTCCTTGCAGGCTCCGCATTTGGGTTTTTTTTAAAATAGCATCTAGTTGCTGTGCAGAGTTGCTGTGCTCCCAGCAATTTGACAGGGAATGAGTCTGCTTCAGTGATCTTAAATCCTTTTAGACTAATTTGCGAGCGAGCAGAAAAACAGCTAGCACCTTTGGATCCAGCACTCAAAACCAGAGAATCAGGTATTGCCAATTAAAGTGCCATTTCCAACCATCATATCAAGACAGATTACTTGCAGTTCCTCTGATAATGTCGTGCCATGCCTAAAGAGAAAGTCAGACGGAGTTTCTCCACGGACAAAGGATCTGCATGGACCAAACCGATCGGTGAGCGGTGCAGAGGGAGCATGATGAGGATCATGCACGCACCCATGCATATGTGCAGCATAAAGGCGAAGGGTGCGCCCGCTTTGACCCCAAATAGCCATGGGCCACTCTGAAAAGCCTGTGGCCCCTCAGTCACTGGCCTACTAGTTAATTGCCACACGGACTTCGTGACACATGGGCAGATAATATGACATTTTCGGTTTCTGTCACTAGCAAACGGCACAGCGTTGCTTGCACTAGTTGCTAAGAAGCTGTCAGAAACCATTAGCAGCTGGCTAAAGTTGCCCTATGGCATTTCCTCATGGCATCAGCAAAACAAGCATAAATCACCCAGCGGAGCCTCCCGCTATACTAATGAAGCTGTAAGCTTGTTTATGGACTAGCATCATTTCTATGATTATTTCCACCTTTTCAGTTCGCCTTCATTTGGCAGCAGGAGTAGTCAACTTCACTAACAGAGTTGCCACCGACATTTTACAAATGCAGTTTGTAGCTGCTACCGTGTGGCTGGTCAGTGGTGCTTCAAGTTTGTTTAGTGATCTTTAAAAGGAGGAAAAGAGAGGGAAAAAAGAAAAGGAGGGGGAATCTCTGGAGACCTCACAGAGGTGAGTGTATCGAGTTGCAAAGTAGATGGAAATACTAAAATCCACAATTGACCATTTAGACTTCTCTCTGTGGTTTCAGTCTTTACGGGATCAATTTTCCATTTAAAAAAAGTGGAAGAGGTTAAACAATTTACAGAAGTCTACTGAAGCATTTGCTCCGAGGATAGCCGGGTGCCTTCTTATCCTCTCCCTGCTTTTCACTTTCTCTAACTTGTGTCGGTCGAGGCCAGGGTTTATTGTTTTAGGCTTTTTTGAACATACACCAGTATTTACACTGGATTGAAAGCATTTGCTTCCAATGAAAATCTTGTCTTAGATTACAGCCCAGCAGTGTAATTTCCCTCCCAGATGGGAGTAAAGTAGTAGTATTTGCCTAAAAACAGTAGGAAGAACAAACTGTGCATTAAGCCAAAGCTGTTTTTGGCTTGAGCTAATGATGTAACAGAAACCTTTTATTTGGGATAGGTCACTGCCCGGGATTGAAGGAGGTGATGTGGCTCGTGCTTGAAAGGTTTCTCCATTGTATCTACATAAGTCTTCACTTAAAAAATCCTGTTCCTAATGCTTCTGCTTTCATACAGGAGAAATAAACAGAAAAGGTTCTGGGGAGTGTTATAGGTGGAATGCAGAAAGCTTTTCCTCCCCTAATGGAGGATATAATTCAGGTGCCCTGGAGGCATGCTTTCAGGAATTCTCTTGCCCGAGGTAATGGGAAGCTAAGGCTGCTTGAAGGCCTTGATTATCTATTGATGCACAAAGCTGGAAAAAAAGTCATCTCCCTTGGATTATAGTAGATATTTCCATAAATTATCAATGAGTCCTCCTCCCATCAGGCATGAGGCAATGCCTGCTAAATTAATCTGAAGGGGGTTTGAAATTAGTATATTTTTTAAAAAATGTGGTGGGGGGAGAGGGTGGGTGGACGATGGCAGGGAGGTGGTGAAAGGCAGTGTCATTAGGTTAGAAGCTTTTCATTTTTAATCAATGAATGCGTAATACTTTTCTTTTCTTTGTTTGCCTCTTGCAGACAGAAAGTAGATTAGCCCGTGGAATTTTAAATGCTGTTGAGTTGTTTCCTTTGCTCATGTTTCTTTTATGAATTATTATTTTATATGGTGAATTACTTCTCTGTATAAAGGCCCTTTTTTACATACTGGGCTTTCAAAGAATTTGTTGGATATCTAATTTCTTCATAAAAATCTTGTGTTTGTCTGTAACTACCCAAGGTTACAGTTTCATCAAAGATACAGGCCAAGTCATAAGAACAATTATAAATTTGCCATGGTCAGTAACATGCTAAGAATAAAACACTAATAATAGCTTTTTTTTTTAGTGCTGAAAGCTGTTTAACAAATCATAGTTATGACAGTCTGCATCCCTTTTTAAAAAATATATTTTATTTTTGTCCCTAACAGAGATAGTTTGTATTCAGCCAAATTGAGATTACTTTATTCATCATTCTTGCCCGGGGGTGCAAAAAACACTTGCCTAATAACATCACAACTCCATGTTGCTACAAATACAGTGTCTTTGGAAGCAAGGATATGTTGTTCAGTCCACATGCATTCAATGCAAAGACTTATTTGCTCTGTGGGCTTGTTTATAAACTGCTTTCAGTGTTTGCAACAAAAATTGCATGCAAACTGCTAGGCACTGGAACTTCTGTTTTCCCTTGGCTGCTAACCCATCAGCCCATACCCAAGCAGGCTGCTACACCCTGGCATCCTCCCATAGACGTGTTGCTAATGTGATGAGAACTGTCTGAGATCTTCTCTGCATTAAAGAAATTCATTCTGGATCAGTGGTTGTTTCACAGAAGCAGACACCTATTACAAATACGGCACACTAGCACAAAGCAGGGTATTAATTCCTAATGGTGTATGTCAAATTAGTGCCTGCTTATCCCCTTCTGAATTTCTTTTGGCTGGGGCTGGGAAGAGGGGAGCCAGTTAGCAACCCACCTCCCATCAAAGAATCAGGGGAAGTCGAACATCTGTAAAAGGCTTAACATAAGCAATGCCTCAATCATCTGTTTTTTCTGAATTTGCTGAGAGAATATGATGTTGCAAGAGAGCACCCCACTTTTCACACCCCAGGGTGGGACGAGGCACCTAGCTTCACATGTCATGATTCCCATCCTGGAACACCTCTGATACTTTAATTGTCAACTCAGCCAAAGTAACTGATTGGGATAAATCTTTGGGAAGTGACCTAGTGTGAAGAAGAGCCAGCATTTCCACCTTTGCAAGTTGGATCCTTGCAAATTTTTTTAATAATTTGTGAGCACTTTTTGTTCTGGGTTACAATGGCGGAGATGGCCACACTGTCCTGCAAGATAAACCAGAATGGGGCCAACACATTTCTGAGCCCCTCCCTCTCCCCATGTCTCTCTCCCCCTTACCCCCATCCCCTCAACCCCTGGTGAATTACGATGTTAAAGAATTTATACCTCATTTAAATATTCATACAGTTTATACCCAAAGCCAGGCTTCGGCTGAAGTATATAAAGGTAGCATAAGTCAAAATTTGATTCACTATATTTACAGGTGACGGCTTGGACAACAGTGTAGCTTCCCCCAGCACAGGTGATGATGATGATCCAGATAAGGACAAAAAGCGACATAAAAAGCGTGGCATCTTTCCCAAAGTAGCCACAAATATCATGAGGGCATGGCTGTTCCAGCATCTAACAGTAAGTGAACTCTAGATCACATATGCAAAATAAAACATGCATAATGTCATAGTTGTAGTAGTGATAGAGAGCAAAAAATACGTATGATGTTGCTACCAGGCAGAAGAGGGACTTTTCTGAGCAGACTTGTTGTTTTTGCCTTATTTTCTAGATGCCAGGGGAAGAGCATAGAGCATATGTTTTTATGGTATGGGGGGTTTTTTTGTGTGTGTTGTTTTTAGATTTGTTTGTTTGTTTGAGACACAGTTGTTAATAGGACATTACTGCCAAATGTGGTTTTTACTTAAAGCTTATATGAATATAACCTTGCAGACCTGTCCTGCTTAGCAGTGTGAATTGCTGCTTTGGAGCACAGAGAAGCGTTTGGCCCCTGGTTCTGTGCTCCAGAGAACTACAGAAAACAATTGAGGAGATTGAAAAACAAACCCAAAAGCAAACAAAGACTTTATTCAGATGTTTGTCAGAGATCATCAGAAGCTTCATGATGAAAGGTCTGAATGTATCTGGTTTAATAGCAAAGTATAATTTTTTTCTTTGAGATGTTCTCATTCCCAGAGTGTAAGTTACCTCTGTATTTAATGTTAGGAAGTGGTGGGGGTATGCACAGTTATTTCTGTTACCACAGCTACCTGTATGGAGTTTTTTATTCCTGGGATTAGAAATCAAAGCTCTGTACAGGTGTGTGGGGTTAAGCTGGATGCTGGAGCTGCTTTTATAATATGTACCACGCCTTCTAACAGTAGCATTTAGAAAAGTATTTCTAATGCCATTCTCCTTCTTCATCAAATTGTGGTGAACTGTCACTGAGTTTTTATCCACTGTGGGGATCTGGGCTTTGAGCCCCAGGTTTTTTGCCTCAGCCTTTCTGTGCCAGGAGGATAAGGGTCAGGCAAGGGCTGCTGGGGTGTCTGCAGGTGGTAGTGAAGAAGGGCTGTTGCCTCTAACTCCAGTAGCTGACTCTTTCCTCTGCCTGTAGCTAGGGTCAGGATGAAACTAGAAGCTGGCCAGCTTGCCCAGCTCCGGTGGGACCTCTGCCAAGGATATGCTCATAAAGCAGGGGAAGCGCTCATGCACATCACCCCTCCATCCCCTGCTGAGCCAAGAAACCAGATATCTGCCATGACTCTTGTCAGCACGGGGATCAGGCAGGGAATCCTGTCCTATGCTGTCCTGGGCTGCTATGAATGAGCCTTCATGTTGGAGCCCTACTCCTTGGAGGCCAGAGAGGGCCTCAGATATCTCCAGGTTAATCTCTCTCTCTGGCAGACTCCATGTCAGCCATGCCCCTGCTTTGCCAGGTCCTTAGCCCTATCTGGTGTGTTCTGTGCCATGGCTTCCAAAGGCTGAGGTCCCTTTGGTGTTGATAGCTCCCCATTTGTAGGTCCTCACCCAAGATGAGTTGACACCTGGCATCTCTCTGCAGGTAGATGCGAGGTTAAGGACATCCACCTCCAAAAAAGTCCACGGGTGCTGTGCCAGCAGCAGTGCTCACACCAGCTGAATGCACCTGGTTTAAGTTCAGTAGTCAGGGGAGGCCCTGGAAGCTCAGCAGTCAGGACAAGGCACACCAGGGAACATTAAAACAACATGTCAGTTCCTGTAGTTTCCAGTGAAGAATTGCAAATTCAGTAGTATAATATTTTTTCCTGAAAGTGGCCTGTTGCTGTGTTTGTGCTAGTAAATAAGCCATCACCCAAATCTGAGCACAAGAACACAAAGGTTAATCCTGGTGAACTGTTTGAGCAGTCTTCAGCACACTCTTAGCCTGCACTGGGTACACTCTCTCCAAATGCCTTCCTGGGAATATGGCAGAAGGCTACAGGGTGTCTCTGAAAAGCCTTTGTGGTGGAAGCCACCCTGTGTAGAGCATTTAACTACACGAGCTTGACCTGACTCTGTAGCTAATTCCATGCTCAGTCTCAGGACCAGAGAACAGACTGAACAGACCCCCTCACTGTTTCCCCTTGGTTAGGTGCAGGGTTTTAGTGGCTTTTCACTCTTCTCCTGTGTGGTAATAATGTTTGAAAGAGGAGAGTGCCTGCTGAGCTTGCTGCAGGGCTCCTTGCAGTCCCTAGGAGACAACATCTGGACATTTGCTTGTAAGGTGGTCTCTGTTTCTGCAAGACTCAAGCACAGAAAGAACCATTCCCCCAGGACTTTTGCAATGCTGCATTTTCTACCTTGTAGCACTGAGCTAAAGCTTGCTTTAAAAGTCCACCATCCCCTGTGCAGAGCCAGCCCAGCCATGTGAAGCATGCTTTTTTTTTGCTGGGCAGCTTTCTCCTCTCCTGGAAGCATGGTAGATCCAGACTTACCTGATCAATTCAGTAAAGCAATTGGTTTATCCAGTCCAACCTTGTTCCAGGCAGGACCTTGACACAGAGCCTAGGTAGGATCTTGGATAGTTTCCTAAAATTAAAACATGTCTAGAGAACGTTGTAGGCTGTTCCAAGTGCTAGAGCAACAGAACATGTTTACATGTTTCCCCTCTGCTTGGGGTGCTGTCCTGGCTGAAAAAAAAGCCAAAACAAACCCAGGCCCAAATAATGGCTGCAATCAGAGCTGAGGAGTAGTGGGGAGAGAGAATGAGGGAATTAAAACTCGTGTTCATTTTTAAGGGCATTTGGGCTTCATGGCTGCTCTTGTAACACTGCACGGTGGTGTGGTGGTATCCCCACATGATATCCTTGCTGCAGGAGGGAGATCATCCTTAGGAAATTAGAGATCCCACACTGTTTGTTTATTTATTTATTTACCCATTTATTTATGAGTGGATTTGGTCTTTTGTAGGATGAACACAAGGTCTTCTCTAAAGTGGGAGGTGAGGAAAGACAGAGGGATGGTTCTGTTCAGGCAGGAGATACATCATAACTGGTGACACCTCCTTTTTGCCCCCAGCACTTTACCTGCCATCTGAAATGGCAGAGAAGAAATGAGCAGCAGTTAAGTGCAAAATCCAGCATCCCCATTGCTGCTTCCTAATTGGGGTGTTAGTTTGGAGTCCTCCTTTTCAAAAGCAATTACTTTTTTTCACAATTGTAATATTAATACACATCAGGGGCATGGAATTAAATAAAATAAACAGTAATTGCTGTGTCTGTCATACTAATGATTATTGGTTGGAAAGACCTAAAATAAATACAGTCTTCCAAAAGTGGATAGGTTGGGTTAATTCCTTTTATGCAGTTATTCCATCTCCAAGAGCTTTAAGTGTTCCTCTGTGTACTGACTTCATTTCTGAAGGTTTGTCCCCTAGTTCTTGTTTCACGCTTAGGAGGAAATCAATTTTTTTCTCTCCGGATGCTGAAGTGTTTGGGCAGTAGTTTCCACTCAGTATCAGGCTCCAGCCGGCCCGCCCCCACCCCAGTATTTTGACTGATGTGCAGAACCAACTTGACATATGCCCAAAGGGTAGGCAAACGCTGTCCTCTGCAGATACAAATGCAGGCAGTATGCTCTGCAGCTTTTTAAGGGATAAATCAGGGGATAAATTCATCCAATTTGCCTTTTTTTTTCTTCTTGGATAATAGCAACAAAAACATTCGGCTAAAGCAATTGCAAAAGTGCCAACCAGACTTACGCTTAGGACTTTGCAGGTTATTTTTTTTAACTGTTTGCTGTTCTGATTTAATTTTGATTAAACATCTGGGTTGGAAGAACTGCTCAGGTGGGCTGTTAGTTGAGAAAAATGTAGTTGTGGAGCTTGTCAAAATTTTTCATGGTAGCTTATGACACCGTCTGGCAAATTTGGAGGTTTATGAAATCTGTTTTTAGGATTTTGCTATAAATTTGAGATGGAAGCCTGTTACTATCTGGAATAAATAAAAATAAAAACAACAAAAAAAAAAGAAAAATAAACAGAAGAATTTGGTGAAGAACTGATAAAGTTGAGTCAAAATTGAGAAAAGGCTTGTGGAGTGCTATCAGATGAGCATCAAATGCAATGGAAGGGGCTGAGGAGGGACTGGGGCAAACCAGTTTCTGTGCTGGTGCTTCTCTTCAGAAAGTCACCCTAAGGATAATTTCAGGGTGTGTCACAGCCCAGCAATGTTTTGCAGGCCTTTTAGACTTCTAAAATTTTTTTAAATTTTTTTTTTTGATCACTTAACATTCAGGGTTCATCTCTCCCCCCAAATTTTTCAAGTATATCTCCTCACTGTAATGTACATTCCTCAGCAGGGATAGTGAAATAAGGGAAAAGCTTGGGGCAAGGGGAAGGGAATTTAAAAATAATCTTGCTTACAGTTAAGTCTGTGTAAATTTAATTGTGGCAACAGGGTTAGTTTCTGCTTCAACCCATCCTAGGCTTTTGTCCCAGCAATGGTATTATTAATATAAATTGGTATTTGGAATTGATATAAATTCCTTTTTGTTCAAAACTAGGAGAAGAGAGTTTGTGGCGTGTCATTTCAAGTGTTTTTTCCACTCATTGTGAATGCTCTGCATCCTTTATATCCGGCTTAATTTAAAATATTGGGACTCAAACCTCATTTTGGGGATTATACAATGTAATTGGTTTGTTATATGATGAGTATTTGATGATCTTCACGTTCATCATCTAATCAGGCAAAAAAAGCCATAAAATTATAATCCCAAAAGATGTTTAATAACAATTTAAACTATTGAAGGCTTTATTTAAGCACATTAGGGGATTATAAACTACTCTCTTTTAATGGTGCCAAGAGGTAGATTCAAGGACTTCAAACACCTTTTAAAAAACAAATTGCCACGATTTAAAAAAAATGAATGGGCTGAGGATTTCTTTCATGTAAATCCCATAATTTAATCATTATTTTTGACTGCTTTTAAAACAATTTCCTTAAGAGGTTAAATCTTACTGAAAGGGGAGACTGAGCAGAAAGTAAAAGACATGGCTGAAAGATGTTCACTTTAAAGTGAAAGGATTTTTTCTATTATGTGTTTGGATTTTTTACTGATTACTTGATGCCATGATATGAAACAAGAAAATTTAAAATAAGCAATATGCAATCTATCTAGTA